AGGAGTATGTTTGTTGCCAGTTTTTTATTTGCTACATTTTTTTCACTTTGATCACATTTTTACCTTTTCTTAATTTTTTAAAGAATAAAATGATAGGCTTAACCAGTATTTCATTTTCTGAGAAAATTCATATTTATATTTTAGGTGAAGAAATAAATAACAAACAAGTAAACAAATAGACATGTAACATTAGGTAGTGTCATATGTCTGGGTGAAAAACAAAGCAGGATAAGGGAAGAGAGTAATGGGGGCATTTTGGAGTAGGCAGAAGGAAGGCTTCCCTGAGAAGATGATGCTTGAATAGACCTGAATGGACCAGGGATCTTGTCATGCATAGTTCCAGGCAGAAGCAACAGCTGCAGAGGGGTCTAAGGAGCCAGGGTGAGTGGTGGGGTTACAGGATACCACAGGAGGGTGGTTGGAGTAGGGGGAATGAGAGAAAGGGAAACAGAGTTGAACTCCTGAAGTTAAGAATGGAAAAACATGTTTTTCACACTTCTTAAACCAGGCTACATCATTTTCCAGGGAAAAGATACCATCTGATCTGTTGTCCCAAAGGCTAAAATTCACAAAGAACTTCTGTGTCTCACGTGACCCTAAGTAGTAACCCCAAAATGGGATTTTTTTGGTTAGGGACTGAAAACTAATTGTAGGAAATTAAGGATCTTTAGAATGATAGAGTTTGAAGCAGTTATAAAAGAAATTTGGTAAGAAGAAATGACTAACAAGAAAGATTAGATGAAATAACAGTGGAAGAGATGGTAACTTGATCAAAGGTTTCTGACATTGTCCTCATCAGTACTTAATGAAGTGACTGGCAGAGATCATTGGCTTGTCTCTAAATATATTTTGAATTTGACCATTTTCCATGACTTCCCCTGCTAATTAATTATAGTTGAAAACAATCATACTTTATCACATGTAGAGACCCAAAATGAATACAGTAGTGGATCTTTAAGGAGTTTTCAGTGTACTTCTGGAGGGAGATTTGAGAAGACATGAGCTGTTTATATGAGTTGGTCCCAAGATGTGGAGAGATAACTGATTCCCTTTATCATTTCTTATGGGAGAGCATCAAGAATAACACTTCTATTTATATTTGAATCATTCATAGGTTATGATGTGCTTTGATATCTTGAAATAGATGGAACAGATATGCTTGGATTGCTTTTCAGATAGGTAGTTCCAGACAGATCACCTGACTCACAGTCACACAGATGGTTAAGGGCAGAGCCATTGCTAGAATTATGATCTTCAGTTGTTCTTTGTCACTCTATTAATGGTAGCAAGTTGTTTTGATAGGATATGAGTACACAATCTGTCTATCGATCGATCCATCCATCCATCCTAGTTTATCCAACAGAATAGTATAGACTGAATCACTTATAAAGTATGGACGTTTCATTTTTCATTGTTCTGGAGGCTGGAAGTCTAAGGCCAAGGCACTGGCAATTTCAGGTGTCTGATGAGGGCTGCTTTCTGCTTCCAAGATTGAGCTTGGATGCTGTGTCTTCCAAAGGGGAGGATGCCTTGTGTTCATGTTGGGGAAAGCAGAAGGCAAGCAAGGGAGTATCTGCCTGAAGCTTCTTCTATAAGGGCCTTGATGCCATTCATGAGGGAGGAGCCCTCATGGTCTAATCATCTCTTAAAGGACCACCTCTTAAATTCTATCTATTCCCAACATGGGAATTTTGGAGCGGACACATCTAAGCTATAGTAATGTATGCATTTCTCAGCCTATGCCTTTTCATATACCTATATAGTGGCTTATTTCCTCTATCCTTCAAAGTTGTACTATGCATATTACTTTAAATCTTTAGACATATGTCATGATCATACATCTAGGTCAGTACATCTAGATCTAATTCATTCCTTTCCTTTGTGTGACTATATTGTTGGACTTGTTGCAAAGTATGGATAGCTTTTAAAAGGAAACTCCAATAATATTTAATATGAAGAATATAATGCCAGTGTATGATGTAATTTCATCATATATGATTTAGCCTTAAATTATATTAAAAGGAATATATTTGTTGCCAGTTTTTTATCTGCTACAAGTTTTTTGACTTTGATCACATTTTTACCTTTTTTCTTTTAAGGATAAATTATAGACTTAACCAGTATTTCCTTTTCTGAGAAAATTCATATTTTTCCAGGTTATTATATCCGGGAAAAGTCTAAGCAAGTTATAACATTGCTGATGGATGAACAGTTGCTGTATAAAGAGAGGGAAGTGGCATGTCGGACTAGATGGCGTACCTCCTACTCCATGACATTTTCTAAAAGACTACCTGATACAGGTAACTCACCAACAGCATGTGCTTCTGCCCCTACATCAGAAATTCCTGCTTCAGAGAAGAAGCATAAATTTCTTAAGGTTTCCAGGCTACGTAATAAAGGTGTGTATAATGAACGCTGGCCTAAAACACAGCAGGTATCACTTAAGAACACTTGCAAAATATAACATGTTAGATTTTAGTACCAACTTATTAATACCATATTAGTACTACTGGTATAATATTAGACTTCATAGTAGAGAATAAAGAAGAATAATATTCAATAGAAAATTTTATGACTATTTTCAGAATGCAATTAGTATTTTACTTATAATTGGCATGAGAAAGAGTACAGTACTGTCTTCTGAGACTAGGGGTTTTGGTTATGTGTACACAGGCACTAATTGACCCTACAAATCAGGAAATTGAAATTTTCTTAAATGTGCCTTGAAATTCTAAAAATTCTTCCAGACAATACTTTATACCTTTTCCTTTGCCTAAAACTTTAAATTTGAATTACTAAACTTTTTTTAAAAGGAAGTTTATTTATAAGGTTATAATAGAAACCAACAGGAAAATGGCATGATTTTTCGATCAGATTTGCTAAAACATTAAAGAATGTCATTTTGCCCTGACTTCTCTAGTGTAAATCCTGTTAATAAGTTGTGCATAAGGAATGGACAGTTTGAGGAAGCAAAAAATAACCACAAAACATGACTTAAATAACCCTTGAGTGGAGCTAACCTTGGTGCAGTAAGTGAAGTGCACAACAGGAATAATACAGTTGCAAGTGGTGTTAGAAGCTTCTTCCTGCCTTTATTCCCTAGGTCTAATGTTATGGACTGAATGTTTGTGTCCTCCTAAAGTTCATATGTTGAAGCCTTGATCCCCAATGTGATAGTATTTAGAGATGATTAAGTCACAGGGGTGGAACCATTATGAGTGAGATTAGTGCCCTTATGAAAGGAGACCCCTGAAAGATTTCTCCTGTTCTTTTTCTGCCATAAGAGGGTACAATGAAAGGTGAATAGTCTGTAGCTCCTAAGAAGGCCCTCACCAGAACCTGACCATGCTTATACCTGATCTCAGACTTCCAGCCTCCAGAACTGTGAGAAATAAATTTTTGTTGCGTATACATCACCCATTCTGTGGTTCTTTGGTACACTCAAGCAAACTAAGACATCTATTAAGCAAGAGCCTAAGAGAACTGGGCAAAATGTTGCATGCCCATAATTCCAGTTACTCAGGAGGCTGAGGCAGGATGATTGCAAACTTAGAGCCAGCCTGGGGAACTTAGCTAAGACCCTGTCTCAAAAAGTAAAGGGCTGGAAGTACAGCTCAATGGTAGGGATCTTGCCTAGTATGCACAAGGTCCGGGGTTCAATCTGTAGTACTGGGATGGGGGGGGGCACCTAAATGAGCTATAGGTATTCAATAAAAATAGCTAATCCCAATTGTCAATTAAGTGTGGAAATTTAAATTTATTTAAATATTCTTAGTAACACAACCCAAAGGAATTCTGCTAAAAATCATGCAAGTATTCTGACTTGGTCAAGAATTCTTAAATGCTCACTCACTTTGTACTTCTAAGACATTTTAAAAGGTGACCATTGTAATTATAATAGTAAATAAAAGAGGTGGCCATTGTAATTATAATAATAAACACCACCCAAATGCTTCTACAAGTAGTGGAGTCTCCACTTTTAGGGGACCAATTTCTTTTGAAATAAATCTCCAAAAGGTACAATTATCCATTCAGAAAATTTCTTATGAAATCCTTGAATTCAGATTGACACTAAAAGCTAAAATATTATGACTCATCCAGAATTTCTTCATCTCTTTTGCTATTTCTGTTACCTTTATTGCCCTTCTTTCCATTTCTTGTCCCATTTTCTCTTTCACTGTAAACAGATGATTGTTATTTGAAATTTGGATATCCAGAAGTAGTGTGGCGCTTCAGCAGTGAGGGAAGTAAAGTTCCTTTCATTGCAGAAATAATATTTAGTGACAGAGATAGTTATTAACAAAATAGACATAAAAATATAAAATAAAAAGATGTAAAACATGTCAAATACAAGTAAGTCCTATAGCAAGAGAAAGCAAGGTCAGGGATAAGAGTAAGAGGGATGGCTTTAATTTAGAGCAAGTAGTGAGGGGAGGCCTTTTGGAAGCAGTAACTGTTTAGACAGACATTGGTACAGGAAAGGGAGCAATCCTGTTCACCAGGAGAGGGAGCAAACAGAGGGCACCTGCTCTGAACTGGGGCAGACTTGGCAAAGGCCATTGTAAGCTTAAGAAATGAGTCCCTAAATCCACAGAGAAGTAACTCATCTCTGAGCCATTTTTATGAGTCATATGTGAAACCAGTTTATTGCTTTATTGTCATAGATCATGGGGCTATTTTATCCAAAATTATTTTTCCCAGCTTCATGATACATCTTATTCACTAGCCTGAGCTCTGCATTACTTTTTTTTAAAGTGGGAGTTTCTTCCCCCCCCCATTAACTTTATTGGTACATTTTAGGTATAAAATACATTTACATACATCACTGAGATCTTGTACCATTACATGAGTATCTTGGTTCTTATTTTTTTCCCCTTCCC